TCTCGTCCCACACGACTGAGAACAGATGTGGCAGGGCGGCCGCCGAGGCAGGGAGGCTCCCACGCCCGTGGACGGCCTGTCAGCTGCATTTCTTCCTGGGAGAGAGGATGAGTTCAAAAGAAGGGCCGGGACGTAGGAGGACTCTGCATGTGCAGGCCGTGCCCCTGGGGTCTGCGGAGGGGGTAAGACCACGGCTGCTGAGCAGCGCGAAGGCTCATCGCAAGAGCCAACAGACCTGTCGCGTTTCCCCCGGCCCGGCCCTCCGCCTCCTAGCTGCCACCGTGGTTGCTTCCAAGGAGACAGAGAAATAATACAGGGTAACCCAGTGGGAGAGGCCAGGATGCTAACTCTCTGGTTTGGCGCTCCGTGCAGGGCTGTGCTCGCCTTGTCTCACTTAGACCCCAGACCATGTAAGAAGGAGGTGCTGCTCCCGTCCCTGTGCTGCAGGTGTGGACCCTGCTTCTGGAGCCTAGGCCACAGCCCCTCTGTGCACGCGAGTGGGCGTGATTCTTCACCAGCTTTCAGAGTGCCGCCCAGGGTGGGAGGCAAGCCTCTTAAACCCTGCAAGCGGGCTGCCTCTCAGGGCCCAGGGTCTGTGTGCATGGCAGGAAGGCGTTCTGCACACGCGCTTGCTGAGTGTTATTTGTCTACAGGAACAATAGGCTAGCTTCGAGAGGAGCACACCTACGGATGGCTTTTGCTCGTCATGTTTGTAAAAGACACTGAATCTGCTTCTGCTGATTAAAGGTTTTTTAAGGCCACTCAACTCTCCCTGGGCGAGGAGCCCAAGTCTTTCTTTCCCAAGGCCAAAAATTCAGTTTGTCTCTCCCCACAAACAGTCTGAGAGCAAGCCAGAGGGGCAGGAGGGAGGCCGCAGAGACTCCTCCTTTCCCCAGGGAAGTCGCAAACCGGGTGGGAGAGTCACCTGCTCTTTGGTTTGGAACAGGAGGCAGAGCCACGAGGCTACTCCTGTGCTCTGGCCAAACTGGCTACGTTTCTCTCAACTTTGGGGATCCGTGAAATGGGACTTCTTCATAAGATTAACAATGTAAAGAGTATATGTTCATGGTACAAAGTTTAGGAACAGTAGAGAACTATAAAGAAGAGAAAGGTCATCTGACCCCCCAACCTGCAGATGGTCGCTGTTAACATTTTGGTGTAAATTCCATCCATTTTCCCAGCTCTTTTAGAGACACCACTACTACGAGGGGCTGCTGTGTACTGAGTGGTTCTTTTGGGGAAGGAGATTGTTCTGAGGGCTTTACATGCATTCGCTCATTTGTAGTAGGTGCCTTTAGTCCTACTTCATAGAAAGCGGAACTAAGGCCCAGAGAGGGACAGGGTTTGCCCAAGTTCCTCCAGCCGATGTGCAGCAGAGCCCAGGTGGGAACTCGGGAAGCCTGACCCTCGAGCTCATGGTTATTCTGCTGCCAGGAATCCCCCTCCCAACTTCTTTTCCCCCCCGGTTTCCCTGACAGATAACCGTGTATTCGGGCATGTAATTCGTTTATATCACAAAGTGGTCACCGCAGTAGCTTCACTCACCATCCATCACCTCACACAGTGGCATTTTTTTTCTTGTGATGAGAACTTTCAAGGTCTCTCTTAGCCACTTTCAAACAGACAATACGTTTTGTTAACTGTAGTCACCATGCCATACATTTGACCCCCCAGGACTTCTTCATCTTAAAACCGGGGCTTTTTGCCTTTTGACCACCTTCACCCATTTCCTACCCCCCTCCCCACAGCCCATGTTTTGACATCAGGAACCTGAAAATCACTGCAGATTTGGAGATAACAGAAGAGAGTTTGGGAGAGCCGGCAGAAAACACTTCGAGAGGACCTGCTAATGGACCACAGAGGATGGTCTACGGCAGATTTACAAACACGGAGAGAATGGTCGGAACGCAGTGCTGATGGCATGGCTCTGTGAAGAACCGCCGTGCTCCCCGGCCCCCTGCACTGGCCCAACATCCAGCCTGTCTTCCTGTGACGGGCTTCTCTCTCCCAAGATTGGACCCAGAGTTTCTGAGACCCAAACAGGAGAGAGTGGCTTCCCCAAAGGGCTAATAGTCCACAACCCTACAGAGATACCGCTCTGCCCCACTGAAGCTTGTACAAATTCTCCACGAGGGCGGCTCAGCTTCTCCAAGGCCAAGGCTCCTGCTCCAAGAAGCCCCCGGGAAATGCTCCTCCATGGAAGAGGCAGCGACCTTGGGGCCAGATTACATCCTGCACCACAGAAACAGGAACTGCTTGTTCCTCCCCAAGGGGGACAGCTCTCCCAGGTCTCAACAGATGGACGTGGGGTCCTGGCTCAGCCAGACTACCCAAGGGTCCACCAGATAGAGCCTTGGAAGATCCTCCACCCTCTATCAAAAGGTTCTTTTACATCCTGATTTTTTATGGTTACATTGTTTTCTACCCTGTGGCTATAGCAACATTTACCAAAGCTGATGTGCCAGACCTTTGGTTATTTCCTGTTGGCTACTATGTTTTAAAACTACAATAAACAACCATGTAGCCAAAACTCCGCTGGCTCCTTATTTCCTTAGAGAAATTTCTAGAAGTGGAATTACTGGTCAAATGGGATCCATGGTTTTAAGGCTTTTGACGGAAACTCCCAAGCTTCCCTGATAGAAATGCCCGAGTTATTCTCCAGCAACCCTCGTAAGAATAAATAGCACAACTTTTAAACAAATTACTGGCTAGTGCTGGAAAGGCTGGTTTGAACCTGCCTGGGACAAGAAGCTCCACTGTCACTCCACCAGTAGGTGGTGCTTGTGGCTAAGGTTTTTAGAGTCACGGAGTTCTGTAAGGAGTTTTAGGAGTTGCATCAGGGAAATCAAAGCAAGTTTGCCCTTGGAAATCTAGGACGGTTTCATCTGAAAACCAAGTAGAAACAGACGAAGGTGCCTAAAAGCCGCGGGGGCGTGGAAGCGCTCCTGGGGTGTTGTCACCTCCCAGCTATTGTCTCTGGCCACTTCCCAGGAGCCCCCAGAGGGAGGCACCAGCATTCCACATGCACAAGCTGTTCCTTCCTCCTCCCTTGTTAGTTCTGGTTCCTTCTGACCAGCTCTCTGGCCCTTAGGGCTCTTGGCTTATCGGCATTGTTAATTTCACACTCTTATGTGCAATTATTGATCGCCTCTCTGTGTCTGGAAGAGGCACTCGCTGTCACCGGCCTGGAGCCCAGCGCAGTGGCCAGCACAAGGACACACCTGCAGGTGTCAGCTGTGGGAATCCCAGGTGGAGGGGCTTGGCATGTTCCCTTGGAGCATTGCTAAATGACTTCCTTCCACCTGAAACCGAAGTGTATCCTGAGATGGTCAAAAAGTCTTCGCTGCTTAACTGTCTAGAGGTAAATAAACCACAGGAAGAGGGTGGCAGAATGACCACAAGTACATGTGGGTTCAGGGTGAGAAGGATGGGGTTCCAGCCCACTTGCTGGTCAGACAAGTTCCATTGCTCTGCTAAACCTCAGTTTCCTCGTCTACAATAGTAATGGCACCTTCTCTATTAAATACTTTGCACACTGGATGCTCACTCAGCACAGCACCTGATAGACTCGGAGGTTTGCTCGGACTTGGGTAATCTGGTCTGCCAAGCAGTGGCCTCTGAAAGGACAGGAGTGGAGGGGTTGGTTTTGATTCCCCCTAAGCCACCAACTTAGACATCTTGCAAGCTAATATTTGTGTTGTGGGGCCTTTGGGCTGCCGAGATTTTGTTTGGCTGGCACACTGCCGTGAAGGGCTGGCACGTTGGGGGCGGGGGTGGGTTGATGAGGAAGGTCCAAATGGCATGCCTTGGCTAAGCTCCCCTTGAGATGGGATTCGAGATTCTTCCCCTGTTCAGCTGCCAGTTTCGTCCACAAGCATGTCTGAGTCCTTCCTGTTTCCAGGCCCAGGATGCCTGGTTGCAGTGCATTTCCTCCTCTGATTCTGACCACTGGTGTCCTGGCTGCCCTTCCTAGGAGCTCTTCCAGAACACGTCAAAAACTCCTTCCCCTCAGCAGCTTGCCTTTGGATTTTCGGGGTAGATTTGGGGTCAGGGGTTCTCATGGTGCTCCTTCAGGGACCCCCCTGGGGGGGGCAATTCTGTTAATGTAACTGAGCTTCTGCAGATTTCTTGGTTTCCCAGAACCTGTGTCGCTGCTTCTCAAAGTTGTGTGCCCCTGAATGCTGCTCTTGGACAAGGAGGCGCCCCTTGGGGGAAAGTGGGGACTTCGGAGCGTAGGAAGGAGCTCAGATGTGGCCTCAGCACTTCCCTCTTCTTCTCTTCTCTGAGCTCTCGCTCACTCAGCCCTGAGATTCCGCACCCCAGGCCCTCCCTGGACCTTGGGCTTCCCCCAGGAGGGGTTCTGATCACTTCATACCTCCGAGGTCCCCCGGGGTGAGCAGACGGCGCGGGATCCTAACACCTCTGGGACAGAAGCCGGCAGCACAGTGGGCTCCCTCTAGGGGGCAGGCAGGCCTCCTCTGAGCCCCAAAGGCACCCAAAACCCGCCCATCCCGTGCTGCAGGCCGGCCCTGCGGCAGCGCCCGCTCCGCCAAGAGCAGCGGGGTCCCCGCGTGCGCGCTCCGGGTCGCCGCGGACAGGGGCGGGGGGAACGCCGGAGCCAGCCGGGAGGGCGAGGCGCCCAGCGCTCCACGTGCGCGGGACGGGCCCGGGGCGGGGCCTTGGGGCGGGGCCTTGA